AAAAAAAAAAAAAAAAGAGGACATAGTACCACATAGTTGGCATGGAAGTGAGGCTACCATACACAATTAAGTAAGAAAATAGTTGGGTCTTTCCTGGTCCTGGTGGAGCACACCTATAACCCCAGTTAGTGGGAGACTGAAGCAGAAGGACTGCTGCAAGTTCAAGGTTAGCCTGAACTACATAGTAAAAGCCTGTCTCAAAAAACAAAACAAGGGCCAGGGAGATAGCTCAGTAGAGTAAGTGCTTTCCTGGCAAGCGCAGGGTCCTGAGTTCAATCCAAAAAACCAAAAACCAAGAGAGCTGGTGAGATAGCTAAGCAGGCAAACACAGGGACCATGGTTCAATCCCAGACACCACATGCTGTGCCAACCCTGCCCCAGGGCAGGCTAAGCCAGCCACAAAAAACAAAACAAGATCCAGGGAGATAGCTCAGTGGCATAAGCACCTGCCTGGCAAGCACAAGGTCTCACGTTTAAGTCTTGGTACCTGAAACAAGCAAACAAATAAACAACAATAAAAGGGAACAGAAATGACATAGTATAGGGCTTGGGTATAGCTTGGTAGTAGAATGCTTGCCTGGCATGTGGGTTTGATGCCCAGCCCACAAAAAGGAAGAAAGATGCCACTCAGTAATACGACAGAATTTCATATAGTAAGAATAGGTCCTTCTGGGTTTCTCCAAGGTGCTCCCAGTGATTCCCCTTGCCAGGGCTTCACTTGGCCAGCGCCTACTATGTAGGATGAAGCTGATCTCCATACATGGGTGGAGCCTACCGAAATGACACAGATGGCTTCTGAGTCTAGGTTATAAGACACCCTGTGCCTTCTACCGTGCTCTGTCTCTGGGACAAGCTGCTGGGGTACAAGGGCTCCTGCTGCACTGTGGAGAAACCATACTGTCAGGGGCTCAGTTGTTTTTTATATGATTGGTTCTCACTACGTAGTTCGGGCTGGGCTTCAGCTCACTAGGGAGTCTAGGCTGGCCTCAGCTCCCAGCAGTCCTCCTGCCTCAGCCTCCTGAGTGCTGAGATCGCAGGCGTGCACCACCACATCTAGATCGCAGCCATGCACCACCACATCTAGCCTAAGTGGGCTGAGTCTTCTTACTAGGACCCAGCAATGATTCTCCAGCCCCAGCATAACTCACTTTGCAGGCAGATTGTCTGGTCTCAGCCAAGCAACTGAATTAATGCAGCCAGATGATACCTGAACTGTGAGCTCACGAGGCACCCCGAGCCATCCTTACCCAGCAAAGCCATGGCCACGGTCCTGACCCACACACAAGACAAACATACTTGCTGTCACTGGAAGGCACACATTTGGGGCAGTTTGCTTCACAGCTACATATAACTCACACCGTGCATATGTACGTACACAGTCAGGCACGTGCACGCCCACCTAGACACACACCTGCACACACATATAAAAAAGTATATAAAGGAAACTGCAAAAGGAGTGGAAGTTGCCTGCACAATGGGGTTACAGGAGATTATTTGCTTTCTTTATTCCTTTGTGAATTAGCTGCCGTTTTTTTTCCTACAATACATGCCTATTAATTTTTAGCATTTTTCATAATTAAATGAAATTGGAAAACTATTTTAAGCCAGGTGTGGTGGTGCACATCTATAATCTCAACACTCTGGGAGGCTGAGGCAGGAGGATCAGAAACCCAACCCCAGCCTGAGCCATTTAACTTAGACCTTGTCTCAAAGTAAAAAAAGAAAAAAAGCAGTGTAGCTCACTGTAAGGCTCTGAGTTCAATCCCCAATATCACGTATGGAAAACACCCACTCTTACCTGCCGAACGTGCGCAGTGCACCCCCTTCAGGAACGTGGCCAGCAGCGACCTCCCAGGGGAGGTAATAGATCCCAGGGTTTGGCAGCATTGTTGGATTTTGTAACCATGGAATTGGGATGAATTTTGACAGTTCCTGATAAACCAAGCAAGCCGCAAGATAGATCAGTAGATGTACAAGACCAGTAATGTAGAAAACTAGTTCTAACAGGGTGGGGCGCACACACACCTGCAGTACTAGCACTCAGGCAGGAGTGCTTAGGCAGGAGGACGGCTGTGAGTTCGATCCAGCCAGAGCTACATAGTGAGTTCAAGGCTAGCTGGTAACACATAGAGCGACCGTCTAACTCCAACCCCCCAAATAAACAAGGAACAGAAGATATACATTTACATAGCACAAATATGTTCTATGAGGGGATAAAAAGCAAGGAACAGGTCTGTAAGTAGGACAAGAGTACACGTGTGCATGTGAGCTCCTCATAAGGCTACTTCTGCAGAACTGCGAGGTGGGGCAGTGGCCAGGAGCCCACCTGGGGTAAGCACTGTCTCCCGCTAGAACTGACAGACTCAGCTGGACGGCAGACACCCGTAATCCCAGTTACTTGGGAAGCTGAGGCTGGACAATTGCAAACTCAAGCCCAGTTTGGGCAATATACCAACTTCATGAGATCTTATCTCAAAATATAAAACAAAAAATTACTGAGGACATAGCTCAGTACTAAGGCCCTGGGCTCAGTCTCCAATATCACAACCAACCCCCCCCAAAAAAACAAACAAACAAACAAACAAAAACAAAACCACTATGGGCTCAGTGTTTTTTCAAAAAAAAAAAAAAATCTTTCCTAGAAAAGGGAGCTGCTGGGCCGGCAGGTGAGTTCCAAACCAGACTGTCTGCTGTCCTATGGGGTGAGCTCCACGACAGAAGAGAAGAGACAGAAGAGCAGGGACAGGGCCTGTGGGGCCAGGGACAGGAAAATACACTGCTGCTCAGCAAACACAGTCTGGCCCTGGGACAGAGCCTTGAGGAAGAAATGAACTATTTTCCAACAGTCTTCACTGAGTAGCGGACTACCGAGAACAGGGCCACATTAAGACCCTTAGCGACCTAGTGTGGACATAATGTAAGCCACCCAGGGGAAATACATGTGTAGGACATGCTCACAAATAATCCCCTTTTCACTTTTTATTTATTTTTTGGGGGGTGCTGAGGATCGAACTCAGGGTCTTGCACTTGCTAGGCAAGTGTCCTACCACTGAGCTAAATCCCTAACCCTCATCCTTTGTAGTAATGTCCAGAGTAGTTTCTCACTTATCTATAACCATTTTCCCTGTATTAGATTTTTTTTTTTAATTTATGTGTGCGTGTGTGTGTGTGTATGTGTGTGTGGCCAGCTCAGCCCACCAGGGGGCGGGGCTGGCTGGCATGTGGTGCTGGGGGATTGAACCGCGGTCCCTGTGCTTTGCCAAGCTTGTTCCAAGTAGGTGCTTTAGACCACTGAGCCATCTCACCAGCCCCCTTGTATTAGATTTTATTTAAAGGTGGAGACTTCTTTTTTTTTTTTTTGGTGGGGCTTTCTTTAAAATGGTGGCACATGCCTGCAATCCCAGCACCAGGGAAGCTGAGGCAGGAGGACTGCTCTGAATTCAAGGTCAGCCTAAGATACATAGGGAGACCCTTTTTCAAAACATAAAAAACAGAAAACATTTGGAGATGCAGACCAGTGCAAAGCCCTTGGTTCAATCCCCAGTACCACAGAGAGAGAGGAGGAGAGGGGAGGGGAGGGGAGGGGAGGAGAAGGGAGGGGAGGAAACAATGTTCAGATGTGGGGATTGGGAATCTTTAATTATTCAATGACAGAAGAGCCCTAAAGGTGATAACCTTAAACTAATTTTTTCTTTGTAGTACTGGGGATCAAATCCAGGGGACCTGTACCACTGGTACATCCCCAGCCCTTTTAATTTTTTATTTTATTTTATTTTTATTATGAGACAGAGTTAAATCACAGCTAGGCCTTGTACAATTTGTGATTCTCCTGTCTCAGCCTCCAAAGTGGCTGGGATTACAGACATGAGCCATCAAGCCCAGCATTAGAGACAATGTAGCAGAAAATGCCCCCCCCCAGCCAGTATAATCCAGATGCCCACGTTTTAGTTCCTGTTCCCATTCTGACTGCTTCTTCTAAATAAAGGATGATCACTGTGATGCATAGCTGGTGCTATGACGCATATTGTGAGAACCAATCAAAGACAGCCAAGTACCCTACCTCAATATACCCCCCCCCCCCGCACCCCACAAAAACCTCCCTCCCTGGGCCTTCAAGTCGTGTCATTTTGAGGAATAATGGATTCCTAGTCAGTGCACATCCAACATTAAATAAGTCTACCTCCAAACCCTGGGTGTCATTTCAGTGTTTCTGTTGCCATTGCAATCGGAACAAGGTTACATGGTAATTGAATAATATTAAGATCCCTATGAAAGCCAGGTGATACAGCTTAACCTAGAAGTTGGAGGCTGGGGAGATGGCTCAGTAGAATAAGCACTTCTCTGGCAAGCTCAAGGGCTGGAGTTCAATCCTTGGTTCTGCCAAAAAAAAAAAAAAAAAAGAGGTTGGGTGTTTTGTTTTTGTTTTTGTTTTGTTTTTTGAAGACAAGGTCTTACCATGTAGCCCAGGCTGGCCTTGAACTCATAACAATCCTCCCACCTCAGCCTCCCAGGTACTGGGATTATAGGCAAGCACCACCATGCCTGACAATCTAGAGGTTTAATATAAACAAGAATCTTGCTCAATTGCTTTTCTGACTCACAAAGAGATGACCTACTAACAAAGCTCACTGTTGCAGGTCACACCATGTTACATTATGAGACAGCATGACAAGAAAACGATGGCTTGTGTAGCTCAGAGGCAATGTCCAAGCCTCAGCAGGCTCCTACTCCTCAAAAAATAGATGCATGAAAGAAAAAAAACACCAAATAGGGGAAATATAGCAGCGGTCTCTCCTTGGGATCATGAGGGACAAGCCCATACAGTATAGAAAAATGCTGAAACTTTAAGGCTGGCCAGATAGCTCAGCGGACTAAAGCACCTGCTTAGGCAGAGCACGGTGGCCAGGGTTCGATCCCCAGGGTGCCATGCCAGCCCTGGGCGTGCTGAGGTTGCAGCTGCGGTTGAGATTGGGCATGGTGGCGCTCACCTGTAATCCCAGCACTTGGGAGGTTGAAAGCAAGAGAATCATTAAGACTCCGACCTACATAGTGAGACCCTGTACACCCTATAGACCCTGTCCGAAATTAATAAAAAAAGAAAAATGTTGAAACTTTATATGTTTCAGCAAATAATTATTAACAATTATTAATTATTAACATATATTAATAATTAAATATTATTAACAAATAATACTGCCCAGGGTCAAGGATATAGTTCAGCAATTTAAGTGTCTGTCTAGCAAGCCCAAGGACTGGGATTCAATCCCTAGTACCACATACTGCATGTCCTGCCAGCCCCGCCCTGGGCACACAGTGCCAGCCACTGAAACGGGACATGGCTGCACACACCTGTAATCCCAGCACTGGGGAGGCTGAGACAGGAGGATCACTACAAATCAGAACTGTGTAGTGAGACCCTGTAACAAGTAAATAAATAATA